GAGGAAACAAAGAAAGAAGAAGAATGAAAGATGAAAAGGGAGATAATAGAAAGAGAAAGCAAAAAAAAAAACATGGAAATGGAAGAAATGAGAAAAACAAAAAAAAGTTGCCAGATATTCCTATGATTGATTGACAGGTTAGGACGGTTAAAAGGTTAAAGGGGGGGTCTGGGATTAGACTGGGATTTCCGCTGACCTGCATGACCGATGCTTTGACCTCGGTTGTTTGTGTGTGTCGTGAGAAAGAGTTGGTTGGGGGGGGGCGTTACAGACCTGAATTGTGTGGGTGGAAGCCGTAGTAGTTTGTGCTTGTGTGTGTGTTTTTTTTCTGTATCAGTTAATATCAACACCACACACGCACATAACACACATCACACACATACACACACACACAACACACACACACACACACATCTACACACTACAACATCAATCAACACACACACAGCTAAACCACACATCAAACACAACACATACCACTTACACAACACAACACCACTGCACACGCGCACACACACACACACACACACACACACACACACACACACACACCACACAAACACACTCACATCACACACACACACACACAATATGTTTATATATATATAATATATATATATATATATATATATAATATAAATTATATAAATAATATATTATATAATTATAATTTTAAATTTATTATATTTGTATATGTATATAATATATATACAAATATACTTATTATATATTTTTAACTAATTAGTATATATATAAATAATATATATATTATATAATATAATATATATATAATATATATATAATAATATATATATTATATATAATAGATTATATAACTTTATGTATATTGTATATATATATATACATAATAACATATATATGTAATATATTAATTATATGTATATAATATATATAATATATTATATATATATATATATATATATATATATATATATATATATATATGTATATATGTTAATATATATATAATATATATAATATATATATATATATATATATATATATATTATATATATACTATTATATATATATATATGTTATATAATTATATATATATATATATGTATATATATATAATAATATATGTATATATATATATGTTAATATCATGATGTATAATATATATAATATATTAATATATAATATATAGCTTAGTATGTTATAATATATATATTAATTATACAGTAGTTGTATCATGTTTGCAGGTAATAACATATATATAATATATATATACAATAGCTATGAATAATCAGTTTCCGTATATAATATAAATTTGTTTATATATTATATATATTAATTCGTTAATCATAATCGAATACATATGGCATTTCGTATCCACCCCAACATATTCAAATTATGCCACGTTTACATGCGAATAATCATTCCGAAACTATCACGGGACAGATCACGTACATTTCCGGCGAGCCACGTGTCCTATCTGAGACACGCGGAAGTCCGAGAAACAGAGGTTTTGTGAACGTAACGTAAGAGGAGATGGGGGAAGGCACGGGTTTTACGTTGTGTGGACGATTGGATTGGTGGATGGTGATGATAGGTAGGTAGGTAGGTTAGATAGATTGGTAAGGTAGTAGGTAGGTAGGTAGATAGATTTGGTAGGTAGTGTTAGGTAGGATTATGTATATATATATGGTATATATATATATATATATATATAGATATACGTGTGTGGTGTTGTTTGTGTGTGTTGTGTGTGTGCACAGTGTGTGTTGTGTGTGTAATGATAGATAGACGGCATGTGTTTTTACGATTTATGTACACATATATGTTTAGAATGATAGATAGATTGATGGATAGAAAGTTAGATAAATAGATAGGTACATAGACACATTGATAGATATATAGATAAATATATGGATAGATAGGTAAGCGTACAGATAGACAGACATACATATAGATAGGTAGGTATAGATATTGATAGACAGATAGATTAGATAGAAAAAGAAGGGTATAGATAGAGGAAAGTTGAATAAAGTTGAAAATGAACAATGAACAGATACATACAAAAATAAAAGTAGATAAACTGATAGATATTTAGATAAAGTAAAGTATGGTATATCGCATATGGATGGGTATAGCGTATCACTGATAGATAGATATGGTTTATCGCAGATAGATGAATAGGATAGATCATGAATTCGTAGATTATACCATGGACGGATGGATAAGTATGATAATTAGTGTTATTATGGTCATAGAATTGCTTTAATGTGTGATTTATATGTCATACTGATGTATGAAATAGCAGAGAGCAAGACTAGGATCTGGGGGGGGAGGGGAGGGAGAGGAGGTGGAGAGAGAGAGGGGATGGAGGGGAGGGGTGAAGGGGGAGAGGAAGGGGAGGGGGAGAGGAGATGGGGAGGGGAGAGGAGGAGGGGATGGAGGCGGAGGGAGAAGGGGAGAGGAGAGAGGGAGGGGGAGGGGAGAAGGGGGGAAGAGGGGGTGTGCTAGGCCGAAACGGGTGGCCACAAATTGCTCGCCATTGCTACTTCCTGTGGTCGGGTATAGGCCGTGCCCAGTGCCCATGCCCCTGTTGCTGTTGCTGTTGTTGTTGTTATTGTTTTTAATATCATTGTTGTTGTTTTGTGTTTATTATTGTTGCCGTTTTGTTCTTATTTTGTTTTTCTTGTTGATGTTGCTGTTGTTGTTATTCATGTTGTCTTGTTATTGTTGTTTAGCTGTTTGTGCGTTCTTATTGTTATTGATTATATGCTTTCTTATTGTTATTATTGTTCTTATGCTTTGTTATTGTTGTTGTTTTGTTGTTATTGTTGTCTGTGCTTTCTTATCGTCATTGATTTTATGTTTTCTTATTCTTGTTATTGTTCTTATGCTTTGTTATCGTTGTTTGTGTTTTCCTATTGTTTGATTCTTTTTGTTGTTCTTCTTATTAAGTTATTGTGAAGTTCGCGGCTCATAAGCGCCGTTCTTGACTAAGCGAGTTATGAACCTGTGCACACGTCGACAGGGAAAGGGTAAAGTTCACCGGCAAATTGATACCGTAATTTAATCATTTATTACTGTTGATTAAAGGCATGTATGGTTTTTCTTCGCCCCTCCCTCCCTTTGTCTCTCTCTTTCTGCTCTCTCTTTTTTGCTTTTTCTCTGTCTCTTTCTTCTCCTGTTTTTCGTTTTTTGTTTGTTTTTTTGTCTCTCTTTTTCTTCTGTTTCTGTTTTGATTTTCTTTGTCACTTTCTCTCTCTCTGTCTCCTCTCTCTGTCGCTATCTCTTCTTTTTTTTGTTTCTATTTTTCTCTGTTTCTCTTTGATTCCTCTTTCTCTTGCTCGTTTACTATTTTTCATGTCTCTGCGTTCGCTCTTCCTTCTGTCTCTATCTGTATACATTATCTATCTGTTTATCCTATTTTCCTTCCCTCTCCTTCCCTCTGTCCTTCTCACCTTCCTCCTTCCCTCCTCTCTTCCTCTGCCCCTCCCTCCTCCCTCCTCCTCTCTCTCTCCCTGCCCCTCCCTCCTCCTCTCCCTCTCTCTTTCACCCCTCCTTCAATATGTCCTCCTCCCCCTCCCTCTTCCCTTCCCCCTTTCCTACCTCCTCTCCTCCCCCATTCCCCTCTCCCTTCCCTCCCCTCCTCCTTCCCCCTTTCCTCCCCTCCCTCCCTCTCCTTCCTCCTCCTCCCCCATCTCCTTTCCCCTCCTCCTCACCTCACGCAGATCAAGAGGTTGTATAATTCGGTGTTAATTTTCTGTGGCTTTGAGCTCTTGACTCTCCGCCTCATATACTGTCTTCGTGTCTTATGAGGCACGAGTCACTTAGTCAGGTGATCCCTTCTCTCTATCTGTCTATCTATTTGTTTATCTGTTTATTTATCTATGTATTTATCGATCAATCTGTTTTCTGTTTCTTTCTCTCTTCTTTCTTTCTTTCTTTCTTTCTTTCTTTCTTTCTTTCTTTCTTTTCTTCTCTTCTTCTCTTCTTTCTTCTTTCTCTTTCTCTTCTCTCTCTCTCTCTCTCTCTCTCTCTCTCTCTCTCTCTCTCTCTCTCTCTCTCTCTCTCTCTCTCGTCTCTCTCTCTCTCTCTCTGCTCTCTCTCTCTCATAAACCACCTTGCCAAAGTTGCTGCGATGCAAATGACCATTCATCTCCTGTGTATTGTTTGTGGTTTTCGCTACAAAGCATTTCCAACGTTGCTAGAAATTTTCTTTGGAGTTAAATATTCTGTTTTTAAGATAAATAAGGGGGGGGCGGGAGGAGAAGAGGAAGGAAGAAGGGGATAGGAGAGAAGAGGAGGGGAGAGAGGAAAGGGAAAGGTGAGGGAAGGGAGATGGAGAAGGGGGAGAAGAGGAAGGAAGAAGGGAGAGAGGGAGAAAAAGGGAGGGAGGGGGAGAAGTAGAGAAGGAGAGGGAAAGAACGGAGGTGAAGGAGGGAGAGGAGGAAAAGGGGAGGAAGGGAGAAGGGGAAGAGAAGAGAGGAGGAAGGAAAGACGGAAGAAAAGAAAGAAGACCTTAAAGCAAATTCCGCGAAGCATCTCAATCGTGTCTCAAATATCACGCAAAAAAGAGAGAGATGTCTTGAGATTTGAGAAAGAAGAGATACAAAAAAAACGTTCTTTGTACTTGGGTGCATTCGTCGCGAGGATGTCCCACCCTTTGCGCGGCGAAAAGATGTTGTTGCTAGCATCGCTTTGCAAAAAGGGAATGAATTCATGGACGTGGTTAAGGATAGCGGTCAGAAGGGGTGATGGAAGGAGGGGGAGGGACAGGGAGGGAAAGGGTGTGGGGGGGGAGGGAGAGGGAGAGAGGAGGAGGAGGAGCATCCAGACGATGACAGTAGCGACCTCTGGCAACTCGAAGGTCTGCTGGGTGGCAGCATGTGTGCGTGTGTGTGTGTGTGTCTGAGAGCGTGTGTGTGTCAGTGTCGGCTCTCTCAGTCTCTTGCCAGTGGTCGAGTGGATGGATTTCCCTCCTGACCGGCGCTCGAGGTGAGGGAGGGGATAGATATCCACACAAACCCACGTCCTCTTCGCCTCGCGCGGGTTTTGGGAGTTTCGTCATCATCGTCCTCGCCGTCCTACGCGCCCTTCGTCGCCCTCGACCGTGATTCGACATCCTGCGGACTTTGCGTCAGGATTCGCGTGTCGTTCAGTGCTTGTGTTCGTGTGTCTTTTCGTGTCCCGTCATCGTCACCGTCACCGTGGTCGCAATTCCGATGAACGATGGTGCACGTGACGAAGATGACGACGGCGGACGGGCGGCTCAACCACACCTTGGCGTGCGAGCTGAGATGGGCCCAAGTGTACGAGATCATGACCGCGGTGGGCCGACTGCAGTGCAAATTGCAAGGCCTGGCCAAGAGAGGTGTGTACTTCGCCGGGGCTGTGTGCGTGCGTGTGCGTGTCTGTGTGTACGTGTGTTGGAAGGGGGAGGTTGTGAAAGACTGGTGGAGCAACGCCACAACCTCTTCCTGCCTCCACTGCGACCACCACACGAGTCACCACATCGCCGCCGCCGCCATAGACGTGCTGGACTGTTTCCTATGTGCATCCCTAACCTCTTAAACTCACCCTGGACCAGGACTTGGCAGGGCGGTGACATAGTAGAGTAACGTGCTCCGTCGGTCGGTCTGTCTGTTTCTCCTCCTCCTCCTCCTCCTCTCTCCTCTACTCCCTTTCCTCTTCCTCCTCCCCTCTTCCTCCCCTCTGGTTCTTCGCTCTCCTCTCCCCCTCCTCCTCCTCCTCCTCCCTCCCCTCCCCCTCTTCTTCTTCCTCCTCCTCCTCCTCTTTTCCTCCCCTTCCTTTTCTCCTCTTCCTCCTCCTCTCCTCTTTCTCCTCCTCTCCCCTCCTTTTCTATCCTCTTCCTCCTCCTTCTCGTCCTTCTCCTCCCTTTCCCCCTCTTTCTCCTCCTCCTCCCCCTCCTTCCTCCCCCTCCTCCTCCTCCTCCTCCTCCCCCTCCTTTCTATCCTCCTCCTCCTCCTTCTCGTCCTTCTCCTCCTTTTCCCCCTCTTTCTCTCCTCCTCCTCCTCCTCCCCTTCCTCCGTAACTCCTCCTCCTCGTCCTTCACCCTCCAGACGAGAGCACAAGTAGCAGCCTTCGTAGCCGCGGCCGAGACTCGGAGACAACGAGAGTAAAATCGGCGGGATTGAAGTAGCATTACGTAGCCTCATGAGCCTACTTACCTCCTGTTGCTTGTACTTGCATTTTGGATCGTTTGAACATCGTGAGATTGTAGTGTGTTGGATGTAGGAGGCTGTTGGTTTGATGTAGTTTCTGTGTGTGGTTTGGTAGTTTGTGTGTGTGTGTGTGTGTGTGTGTGTGTGTGTGTGTGTGTGTTGTGTGTGTGTGTGTGTGTGTGTGTGTGTGTGTGTGTGTGTGTGTGTGTGTGTGTGTCTATGTATCGTTGCATGCTCGACCGTAAACACGTAAATATATGCATGTACCGTTAAGTATGTTATTGATTCTACCCAACTGAATAAACGCTTTATTTGTATCCACTTTATATAAAACCGGGAGTTACTGTATCAAACCAATTTTGTTGTTTGTTTGTTTAATCATTTACTTGTTTCTCTCCCTTTAGCGAATCACCCTGGATGAGTCACTTATTCCGTACCTTACAAGTGTTACAATAACGGGGTCATTGTCATTCTATTCGGGTCGAACGGAGAGAATAAAGAGAGGGAGGGAGAGGGGGAGGGAGAAGGAGAGGGGAGGGGAAGAAGGGGAGGGGAGACAGGCAGGGAGAGAGAAAGAGAGAAAACCAAAAAAAGAGAGAGAGAGAAAGCGAAACAGAAAAAACATAGAGAAATAGAAAGAAAGCGAAAGAGAGAAATAGAGAGAAAAGAAAGAAAAGAGAAAAGAGAAGAGAAAGAGAGAGAGAGAAAGCGAAAGAGCGAGCTTGTGTACACGCAGGGACAACCTTGTTACGTAGCGTGCGTAGGTACAGCATCCTTTCGGCAAGCCAATTTTAATCGCTTCACATCGTTGATTGGTTTAATCTGATCAGAGTGAGGACTGCCGCTGATGAGCACGCTGTTGTCGCTCATTCTCTCGCTATCTATCTGTCTATCTGTTTCTATGCGTATAATTTTGTTTGTTTGCGTGTCTGTTTCACAATCTGTCCCATTTTTTTTCTTTTTCTTTCCCTTTTTCTTCTTTTTCTTTTTCTTTCTTTTTTTCTTTCTTTCTTCCTGTCTTCTTTCTCTCTTCTCTCTCTCTTCTCTCTTCTCTCTCTCTCTCTCTCTCTCTCTCTCTCTCTCTCTCTCTCTCTCTCTCTCTTCTCTCTCTTCTCTCTCTCTTCTCTCGCTCTCTTTCTCTCTTTTCTCTTTTCTCTCTCTCTCTGTCGGGGAGAAGAGAGGAGACGAGTAGATAAGAGAGAAGGGGAGGGGAAAAGAGGGGAGACGGGGAGGGGGGGATTTGTCCTTCACTCCCGGCAGACTGGATGGCGTCAGAAATGCCCTTATTTTCAATCTATTTTGACTTTTGCAAAATATCTTAGCTATTTGTCGTCTAAATTTCGTGTTTTTTTATTATTTATTATTATTATTATTTATTATTATATTATTATCATCAAGGTTGATTGATGAGTTATTTTTGTCATCGGTATTCGATAGATATTTTTATGTGATTTCTATACTTATTTCTTTTATATTTTTTTATTCTTTCTTGTTACTTTCTTTATCACCCCTTTCTCTTGTTCTTTTTTCCACCATCCTTCCCTTTTTCTGGGTTTTCATCTTCTTTCCTCCCTTTTCCATTCTCATCTTCGCTTTCCTTATTCCTTTCCTCCTTCTCTTTCTTTTCCATCCTGCTCTTCTCCCTCTTTTCCTCGCTTTGTTCAATCTCTTCCCTCTCCTCTTTCGTATCAGGTTGAAGATGTAAATAAAGTCTTTTCAAGGAATAGGTCACGTGCAGCATCTTATTTCTCCTCCATCTTCGCTTTCCTTCTTCCTTTCCTCCTCTTTTCCTCCTTTGCTAAATTTTTCTTATCCACTATCGTATCAGGCTGAAGATGTAAATAAAATCTTTCAAGGATTTAGTCACGTCAGCATCTTCTTTTGCTGCTTCATCTTTCGCTTTCCTTCTTCCTTTCCTCCTTCATTCCCCCTCTTTTCCTCGCTTTGTTCAATCTCTTCCCTCTCCTCTTTCGTATCAGGTTGAAGATGTAAATAAAGTCTTTTCAAGGAATAGGTCACGTGCAGCATCTTCTTTCTCCTTATTCTATTAGTTGTTTTATCTTTAAGGATGTCAATCAATAGTATCAGGTCATGTGTTTTCAAGGAATAGGTCACGTCGTTTCTTTCTCCTTATTCTATTAGTTGTTTTATCATTCTAGACAGCATTCGATATAGCGGGAGTGCCAGGGAGTCACGGCTCGGCTTCAGTAGTGCCAGTGAGTGCCACACTGTCTCGTTGGGCCAAGCGTCTTCGACCCCCCATCCCCCATCTCCCTCACCCCGTCTATCTCCCTCCTCTTCCCTCCTCCTCCTCTTATCTCTCTCCTTCTTTTGTCGTCGTTCTTCTCTCTCTTCTCTTCTCTTCTTTTCTCTTGTTTTTGTTTTCTTCTCTTTCTCTTCTCTTCTTCTCCCTTCATTTTATCTCCATCTCTCCCTTCAGCTCTCTCCTTTTCTCTCTTTCTCTTTTTTTCTCTCCTCTCTCTCTCTCTTTCCCTCCTCCCCCTCCACGCCCCACCCAACCTCCCAGCGCCTCTCCCTTACGATTACAGAAGAAAGTCTGATGAATATTACGTTTTTGTCACTGATGAATCAACTCTTTGAAATTGACACTGGCAGCCGACCGACGACGAGAGAATGCGTTACCGTAAGGGACTGTCGACCTAACGAACGGGGGGCAGAAAGGTCATCGTCGCCTGCTCGTGGAGGGTCTCTGTCTAGCACCCTGGTCTCGTTGTCGGCGTGTTAAGAAAAGTGTGTTTTTTCGAGTTTGTTTTAACTTTCTTTTTCCTTTCGTTGATTTTTTTTCGTTGTTTTTTTTTTACTTTTATTTTTCTAATTTTGTTATATCTGTCGTGGCGACGATTATGGATGTGTGTACGTAAAAAGTGTATTGTGTGTGTTTGAGAGAGAGAGAGAGAGAGAGAGAGAGAGAGAGAGAGAGAGAGAAGAGAGAGAGAGAGAGAGAGAGAGAGAGAGAGAGAGAGAGAGAGAGAGAGAGAGAGAGAGAGAGAAGAGCGAACAGATAGGAATATGTACAAATAAGAAAGAGAAAAAACGAAAGACTGAAACATAAAAAAGAATGCGAGAGGAGAGAAAAAAAGAAAACAGACAGAGATGTGGAGACAGACAGACAAGCAAAATATAACCAAACTGTTATCTTTCCCCAAATATGCGCACTAGAGGTCTTAACCCACCGATATGCATATTTGCTCACGCGATAACAGGTGAGCTGTCACACCTGTAGCGACCTTTTATGTCACGCCTACAAGCTGACCTCTTCTCCCTCCCCGTCCCCTCCTTCCCTCCTCCCTTCTCCTTCCTCCTCCTCCTTCCCCGGCCTTTCTCTACTTCCTCTTTCTTTTTTCTCTTGATTTTCTCCTTTTCTCTTTCTTTTCTTTCTTTTTATTTTTCTTGCCATTTTTGGAGATTGATTTATTCTCTTTTTTGCTATCTCCTTTTCTCTCTTTTCTCTTTTTCTCTATTTCTCTCTCTCTCTCTCTCTCTCTCTCTCTCTCTCTCTTCTCTCTCTCTCTCTCTCTCTCTCTCTCTCTCTCTCTCTCTCTCTCCCTCTCTCTCTCTCTCTTCCCCACTCCCTCCCTCCTACTTACTCCACACTCTCTCCTACCACTCTGCACCCCCATTCTCCTCCCCCCCTCCCCTCTTCGGACCTTGTAGCCCTAATGACTGAGATAAAAAAAATCGTCTTCGTTAGTTATTTGTTCTGTGTTTTTTTTTATTTTTATTTTATTATTATATTATTATATATTATTATATTATTATTTTTTTTTGGCTTTGTTTCTTTCTTTTGTCCTTTTCTTCTTTGGGATAGAGAAACGCGTCTTTTTTTTTTTTTTTATTTTTTTTATAGTACATTGAACTCTCCCTCGTGTTCAGAGATCCCACGAGGCCACGGAAATGCCTTATGACCACTGCGGTGTGCTTGTCTGTTCTCGGAAGTGTGTGTTTGTGTGTGTGGTGTGTGTGTGTGTGTGTGTGTGTGTGTGGGTGTGCGTGTGTGTGTGTGTGTGGGTGTGTGGGTGGGGTGTGGGTGTGTGGGTGTGTGGGTGTGTGTGTGTGGTGTGTGTGTGTGTCTGTGTCTGTGTGTCTGTGGTGTGTTGTGTGTGTGTGTGTGTTGTGTGTGTGTGTGTGTGTGTGTGTGTGTGTGTGTGTGTGTGTGTGTGTGTGTGTG